TCCAAGTGGTGACGGGCAGAGAGACATATGGTAAGAACCTAAGATGGGCCTCATCCTGGGAAGGCAGAGTAGATGCCTGATACTGATTACACTTTCTGGCACTCAGTATTCAGCCCTGATGCCTGGTCACCAGATCCTCAGTGGCCCTGGTCTCCAGCTGTTGCTGCTAAATACCATGTTGATATGTTGCAGGGCTCCCCTCCTCCATGACCTTACAGTTGATAGGTGGCTAACCTGACATGCATAACTGAGACCTGAGTGGACCCAGAAGGTGTTTCAAAAAGATGCCCACCTGGATTTTGTTTATAGCACCAACTGTGAGTCTGGGGTGGTGGGGGAGTGGGGTAGCAGTTGTTATCTAGGAAGCCTTAACAACTTTCAGAGACACTGCCCACAAATAACCAGAGGTGAGGTACTCTGGCTTTAGTTGGGCTCTAAGGAACATGTAAGTTTGTTGTCGCTGTGCAGCAGCTTCTCTTCCTGGCCTGCCTGACTTGATTCATGTGGAGTCTCCAAGACCAATAGTTCTTGGAGACTTTAAATTGCCTTGTGTGGTGTGTGTCTAAAGAAACTTGGGAGTTCATGGCCCCCATGGCAATAATTTTTAATCTGAGCTCCAGGTCAACCAAGTAATGCGGTTAAGGTCTTCTTACAGGGTTTGGAGGCTGTTAGGGTTTGGATGAGGAGGAAGATATTTAAGCTCTGTCTGACAAGACGAAGTGACTATGGATTCATGTTTCTTCCAGGGGCAAAGATTTTCCATCTTTTCAGTTCTTTCATGAAAGAAAAATGGCATACAGTTTGGGGGGGGGGGGTCTTCCTAGACTCACAACTCCTTGAAGAGCAGGTGGCATCTTTCATTAGGAAAGCTTTTGCACAGATTCATCTGATGTGCCAATTGCACCATTTCCTGGATCACAGGTCTTTCCTCACAATTACTTGTGTCTTAGTCACTTTGCACGTGGACTACTGCAATGCACTGGACATTGAAGACAACTCAGAAGGCATAGCTGGTCCAGAGTGCAGCAGTATGAGCTGTTGTGGGCATACCTTGGTAACATGTCTCCTATACAAGGGGTACTGGTTACCAGTGGGCTTTCTGGGTACAATTCAAGCTTCTGATTACGACTTATAAAACTCTTCATAGTTATCTCAGGGACCACCTTTCTCCCATCATTTCTGCTTTTCCTGTACGATCTGACAGAGTGGACCTGCTTCATTTTCCTTCCCTTAAGCAGTATGTCAGCCCTTCTAAGTAGGCCAGATCAGGAACAGATTCTACAAGTTTGATTAAAACTATAGTTTATTGATATAGGGCACAGTAACAAACCCAGAATCTTGAAAGCTTGGCTGAGTTTTCCCTTTCTTCCCTTTTATATTCTAGTGAATTAGGTTGGATTCAGTCTAAGCTTCTTTCTTCCACTTTCTTTGTTTTCTGGGCTTAAAACATACTTTTGTTTTTGGTAATGATTATCTCTGCATAGTTTCTTCAAGGTCATCTCCATACTATCTACACATTGTCCTGTGATATACCTATCTCTTTTGTGGCATACACTCTCTGAAACAACATCTCTCTGTGGGTTTGGACTGCACAGGTCCTGCAGTCCTTTAAATGAACCTTGAAAACCTGTCTTTCCCCTCAACTTTGGGTTAGGTTGAGGTACAGTATGTCCACATGGAATATATTATGTCAGTTTGCTATGGCAATATTTGTTTCCTTTTTTATGTCCATTTCATGTTTTGGTTTCAGGTACCATATTTTTAATTTGCATGCCATCCAGAGTCCTTGTTAAGTTGGATGGATTTCAAAATCTAAATTATAAATAAACAAAAGAAACAAACAAACAAAGAAAGAAACAAACAAAAACATCACCATATGAAGGCTATATTTAATCCAATACCGGATATGTCATTCATTTCTTACAAACATAGCTGTACACTTTTAATATTAGGCCTAAAACTAGTGTTGGGAGATGTTTCATTTCCCCAGGATGACAACAAAGGTTATATTTGACATAACATATTTCCTACCCCCAAAAGCATTTACTTACTAAACATATGAGTTACTTTTTTTCTGTATGGGAAATCAATAGATTAACTTATTGTTACACCAACATTTTCATTAATTTGATTTCATTGCTTCAAACACTTAAAAATGAACAGTTGGTCCTCCATATAAATACTAGGGTTGTCCAAGAGCAGAAAATCAATTTCCTAGTACTAGGAATATGTGTTTCATTTTCTCATATACATATACATAAATGTCTGTCATGGACTTCTTTGGGGGCAAGTATATTGTACAAGAAAATCCTATCATAACAATTAGTGACATTTTACTACATTGCTAATTATAAATATGTATGTAAGTACTTGCTGTAGATAGAAGTAATGATTGCTCATAGGTGAGCAATTAAAGGCTTTTGTAAAATTAATAAGAATTCAAATTTTAAAATTGTTTTCCATGGGACTCTGGGCTTTTTAAAATTTATTACTGGTTCATAACTGATTTTATGTTCAAATTTATAAAGTGCAACGTAGAATGTTTATTTTACTGAAGTCATCTTGGTAGTAATGAATGCTAATATAAAGACAAAATGTTTATAATATTATGCCAACAAAGTACTAATCATGTGTTAAAGAGTGACACTAGAGTCTGCAGTTTGTGATTTCTAATGGATATCAAGATCTTCATTAATATGCACATTAAGTGAATGTAATTGACTGTAAGCCAGATGGACAGTGGCAAAATATTTAATAATGAACCTCTTCAATGCAGTATTTGCTGCCTCAAGGAGAACAATAAAAACATCCAGATTTTCTTTAATGTCTTTCAATAAAATGTTGGCATATTGGCAGGCAAAATGATAGTGTCGTGCAAAGCCTTTAAAGATTTAGAGAATTAAAATCTGTTAAACCATAAATTGCTTCACTGTAAGAGTTTACCAAGACGGCAGATAAGATTATCAAGACTGCTGTAGGTGTGTGGGGGGGTTTGGTGATTAGTACTGAATATGGTGGTGGTGAAGGTTAGGAATACAACTGATCCTATCTGGAAAATATTACATCTTGAATATCACAGAGCTATAGCCTAGCTTGTAATCAATTTGGCAAATAATAGTAGATATCTAAGCATTGACAGTATGGAAAAGTGAACAATAATATTAGAAGGCTGGCAGTAGGACCAATGATCTTTTTAAAATTTGAAACTTCTATTACCATCAGGGAATCCAAGGGCATAAAGTTTCTCTTTGGTTAGCGTATGGCACCATAAACCTTTGATCTAGTGACTTTCTCTGATCCCAAGTATTGTCCAAAACATATTTTAAGAATTCAAACAAAATTATTGAGAAGCATCCCTCAGGTTACCTGCTATGCCCCAAATGTAGTACTTTGTTGGGAAGCAGGTGTCACTAAACTTGAATCCAATCTCTGGATAAATAGCTTTTCCTCCTGGCTAAAACTATACCACAGTCCTGGTGGACTGACCCATCTAATATTGGCAGACAACTTGAAATCATCTTGGGAAACAGCTGTCCAAAAGAAACTGAGCCACTCTGGCTTTTCCAGTGATGCCATCTTAACTTTAGGACTGGATCAAGCTAGATCAATATTAAGGCAAAGGATCTTAGACACAGAAGGCCAAACAGAAATTGCTGCTTTCTCTCACAATGTATTTATAAATAACCAAATTTTAGTTCCTACATATCACGTCACAGTTCCTAAATTCAGGAGAGCTTTATCTTTAGCTCGATTATAGCTCTCCCCACAGCTGTTTTGGAAGGGTAATATCGGAAAACACCTTATGAAACTTGACACTGCCCCTGTGACATGGGTGCCATAGACACCACAGCCCATGTTCTTTTGTATTGCCAGTTCTACAGGGCCATTTGCCACCAGCTGATTCCCCCTTTTTTATCTAAATTTTTGGAGCACTCCAATCATTTTTATTGGCATTATTTGTTAGGAAACCAGGATAAATCTTTCTCTCTAAAGGAAGCTACATTATGTGTAAGCTTAGCCTACAAATGGTTGCCAGTATTGTCAGGGGTTAACTTTCATTTGTTTGTTATACTGAATGTATTTTTATTGGTCAATGACCGAAATAAAGTTTCTGACTGTCTGTCTATTTTAAGGCAGCAGTGGAATTTCCAGTTCCATCCTTCTTTTCAAAATTAAATCTTAAGTAAAAAGAAAATGCAACCACTCCCACAAAAACCCTGGAGTGGAGCTTCCATAAGTTCAGATGTATCACAGACAGTAAGCCATGAACGTATCTCATAAGGTATTCCCCATCAAGCAGCACAGCTATAATTCACCCACCTGTGGCTTCTTTTGACATTGGTGGTTTGTCCACATATTGTGTGATATCATGCTTTAATCCTTTTTGGCTTGTTTCTGCAGGAAAATACTATCATACTATCATAGCAATGTCAACCTCAAAACAAACATGTATAAGTGTTTAAAGCTACATTCCTCAAACAGAAAAAGGACAATTTATGGATGTTTCTTGTAAAATGACACTATTTCACATGAGCGCATCTATTATATAATTGTTTTTCACACTGGCCTGATTTTTAAAAGATATGCAAAGTGGTGACTGTTTTAAAACCAAAGCCCAATATTCTGTCAGCTTGTGGAACAAATTGCTTGATTCCTTGGGTCCAACCCATATAATTTAATCATAGGAATGATAATGCAATGGAAACAGAACAGTTGATATTTGCTTTTAGAAATGTGTTTACTTACCTACTTCCTCACGTTCAGAGCAGCTCTTGTTATGCATTGTGGGGCTGTTCAGTCTGCTTAGCAGCTGGATCCTAAGCCATGAAAATAGCCGGATATGCATTGCATTGGCCAAGCGGTAATCTATTCTGACAAGTTCAGAAGGATAAATTGGGATAAATAAGGGCCACTGCTAACATGCCTAACCATACGTGGGAAAAGTCATTCCTCTCATAGGCCGTCTTCATGAAGAAATCATTGTGCGCAACCTGAGGAAGATGGCTTCGCATGGCCAGCAGCAGCGGGAGCAAGAAGACAGTGAAGGTTAGCTGAGGTGGTGGAGTGCAGGGCAGCAGGGCTCTCAGAGTGCAGGGCAGTGAGGGTGGCTGGGCTGGGGCTTCCTGGGGCGGCTGCTTTGCGCTGTGCTAGTGGGGCTTCCTGGGGCCGTAGCAGCACCAGAAAGCCCCTTTGTGCCATGCTGCTGGGCCGGGGTGGGGCTGGGCTTCTTGTGGTGCCAAGGGGCTTCTTGGTGCACTGTGGCCCTGGGGCTTTTTGCTGGGGCTGGGCTTTGCATGGCACAAAGGGGCTTTCTGGTGTGCAGTGGCTCTGGGGCTGCAAAAAGCTTGCAACCCCAGAGCCAAGGTGTGCCAAGAAGCCCCTGAGCCTCAGGGTATTCTTCCCCTGGTCTTCCCGAGATTATGCCACACTGCAGCACCCTTCTCCCCCAACCTGTGCATGGCCTCTGCTTGCCCTCTCAGGCCTCCCCCCCCCCCCCCCCCGTGGCACTCCCATGCTGCTTACCTGGAACTCCCACCTCTTCCTGCTAAATGACCCATGTGTCTTGGGGTTACAATGGCAACTGGGACTGCCTGGATTTCCATCACTAAACGATGTGGTCATGTGATATGCTTTACGACCACATTGCTTAGGGATGGAAATTCTGGTCCCAATTGTGATCATAAGTCGAGGACTACCTGTAAGACGCTTTTCTAAGACTCTTCCTTCATCTAACTATGCAGCCCTATTAGTTTGAAGCTTTTTGAGAGAATGGCAGGCTAGTCATTTTTGGAAGGAGAAGAAATCATGGCACTCTTATTCCAAACTGCTGTCTGGATGCTCTTCTACCGTCTACTTTAAGCAACAGTGTCCCCACTTTCTTCCATTGGAACCTTAGCCCTAAAACTGGCACAATTTGACCATCTTGTCCTGCATTACTACCAAAAAAAAAAAAAAAAGCAGCTTTGAAGTTTTTCCCTTGCTGCATGTCTGTACGCATGTGTAGACACTTCTACTGAGTTTGTCAGCAAAGTCAAGCAGTTGTGCGTGCACACAGATAATCAGAGAAACATATTAAAGCATTATGAATCTTCTTGGAGGAGTATGATCCTTAAAGGAAGAATATTTCACTTATACTTGACAAAGCCAGTAAATCATAGCCCTGACTGCTGTGGCCAGCTGGTTCCTAGGGTAGGAGAAGCAAACAGCTGTGAGACAGCTGTTCTGTGTCTACTCAGTAGCAAGTAGCAGAGATGAAAGTGGAAATTTGCCTTTTATTAGAAGACATGATAGGTATTGTTTTAATTATTATACTTAACTCTGTTTTGTTACACAAATGTAACTAGACATACTTTATAGCTAATACACTGGATTTTGTGGGATGGAAAAAGGAATATTCGGAGCTTTGTCTGACTTTCAAAGGATTCCTCAGCATCAGAATTGAATTATTAGCCTTGCTCAACTGGTGACATACTATTGACTATTAGCAATATTTCAATAAATGTGCTGTGCTGGATAATCTTATGCACTTTGCTTCAATTCCTTATACATTAAGAATATACAGATACTCAGAAACTCACACAGATTGCAACTGTTTAGTAGAAGCTTGTAGTAGATAGTAGAAGCTTATAGTAGTACAGGCAGATTATATATGTAACCTAGGCAAATAAAATATTCAAGAAACAGAGTTTATGGATGGTAACATTTCCTCTGCTTTCCTCATTCTGTTGACTTGCAAAATCTGCCCAATATATAATAAATCTCTTAAGATTTTTCATTTGTAAATTAAAGTAGGCCCTGTTTCTTTTTATGCTTGCCTTGCATTCTTTTTCATTAATTTTGTTTTGTTTTAGTATATTAGACTCATGGCAAGATAGTGAAACTAGAACAAATATCCAGTGTTTCTATTGGATAAATATTGTAAACATTGTGGGCACAATTGAGAGGCACATGTATAATTAAAAGAAGTGTGCTTAATTAAAGCAGATGCACACAAAGGAGAGAAAAATGTACATTGCCAGAACATGAATTCAAAGATGATATTAGAAAAGAAAATGAGATTTTATTTCGAAACAAGAGTTTATGTGTGTCTGCTTAATTTTTTTATTGCTTCATGCTGCTGGAGGTGTTCTTATTCCGGACTGAATTATTGGTGTACAAAGTTTACAACTGCTGAATACTTGGATAAGTTAGTATTCTGTCCTTGCTCTTTACTGTGCTTTATTTATTTATTGTCAGTTAGACTGGGAAAATGTGCATGGATAATTTAGAGTAGATTTACATTGCATTCCTAGCAGGGGACAAAACAGGGTGGGAGAATAGTATTGTAAACATGTGTAGTCATGTACTTTAGATACAACTCCCATGAATAAATCTGGTGACATTAGATCGATTGATAAATTCACGTTAATCATAAGAGAGAGATGAGAACTGTGCCTTCATATTCTACAATATATTTAGATGACTATTGACGTTTCATGAATGAAGTATTTCGATCAGTGCACAGTGCACACACATATAAATTGGCTGGGAATTAAAATAATTGTAGTGGATTAATTTTGTATAGTGCCAAGCACAGACTTTTTGAATGAGAAATTCTGAGAACTGGGTGTTTATTAGCAGTTGGGATACAACTGGTTAGCATTTTCCCCTCTTCAAGTTGCCTCCCTAGACTTTAGGTCCACCTAATCTACCCTTTCTCTTTGCTAGTAGTAGTAAGGAAAATCGCAGCATATTTCACTGTGTGAGGGTGAGCAGTCTGCAGGTATCTTTTTGGAGCTTTCTCAGCCAGCTAGCCCCTCTCTGAGTCTAGCCTCTTATTACCTCACACCACCATCTGGAAAGCCTGGCTGGCCAGTCTTAGCTTGTTTGCAACTGACACTTTCTGCTGAGTGTCTTGTGAGGTGGATCATTGCCATTGTTACTTCTTTGTAAGTCTCAGTGGCTGGGGATTCTTCAGTGGGCCCCACAGTCCTGACCATCTGCTGGTGGGCCTCTTTGGTGGGTCTCAGTTGCTGCACAACGTATGGCCACAGGGTCTCTTCAGTGGCTTCTCTTGCTAAGGTGTTTTTGGCCTCCCCCCCCCCATCTTGACAATGGCCTCTGGAGGCCCGTTTCTGCTGTGTCATCCAGGGTTTACTGTTCCACTGCCACTGGTCTTGGTGCTGCTGTTTCCTCCGTTGCTGCTTCTGCTGAAGCTGCAGGCAAGTTCTGCCAGTTTGCTCTTTTCCTTGTCCCCCATCTCTTTCTCTGGGTCTTCAGATGCTCAGCTTTCAACTCCTCAGCTCACTGTGAAAACATTCACACCAGCTTCCTGAATGAAGGAACAACATCTCACTTCAGTTCCAAATGAAGGAAAAAGAAGTGTCCCCTAAATATCCTTTCTGCTGTGCTGTGATTGTTTTTGCTGGCACTGCCAGTGTCAGCAACTAAAGGTCATTTAAAAGCAATGGGAAAGGGTGAGGTCACAGGACATTACTTTCTCCATGCTGCATGGCCCATCCTTCCACAATTACCTCCTGGTTATAATTAATAACAGCTATTGTTGTCTTTTTGCCTTTCCTCCATTGCTTTATTCTGGCATATTTAAGTTCAAGCTGAATTTCAGCATGTTAATAAACAGACTACACAGATGACATTGTATTTTTTGTATACATTTCCTATGTCATGATATCTTAAAGAGGACAGATACATTTTCATTCATTATAGTTCAGTGGCATGTCGTATTCTTTATGATTAATGCAGTGACTTTATTAAGATTCTACATTGTGATAAAGGCCAGTTTCTTTTTCAAAATCTCATAATTTAATAACCTTGTTGCATGTTGGTAGGGAAAAAAAATAAAATGTATGGTGCTTTCTTTCTGTCATCTAAGGTGTTCAGCTTTTCTTGGATTTGTTAAAGCTAAGCATCTCAAGACTGTCCAGATTAACAGAACACTACACAAAACAAGGCTGTAGGTTCACATTCAACCTATTTATGTCTGCCCTCAGCTGAGTCTTACATATTGTCAGGCCCAGCCCAAGAACAACAGTGAAACTGTCCAGTTGAGTAAAGTACCTTTATTTGCTTACACCTTATAGACAGAGTCTTGCCAGACTAAATCTGTACTACTGCAACTAGTGGATATACCCTAGGAGATTCTAGGGAGTGGTCATCCTAAACCTCTTTCACTTCCCACACTCCCCCTGCAGACTGTGTTGTCTTTTGTTTCCTTTCCCTCCTGGAATGCACCCCTTCCTTCCTGATAGCTTTGATCTCTCACATCACCCTCCTTTTTGTAGATACACTCCATCACATATATCTGTGACAGGCAAACTATAACATAAAAAGCTCAAGTTGAAACATGCTCATTCTGATCATTCACCATTGCCAAAAATACTGTATTTGCATACATTGTTTTATTAATCTGTGTGTGTGTGTGTGTGTAGTTTTAATTTGTTATTTCAATTGTAATTATAATTTTGAATTGCAGATTGCTTTGAGATCAGTTTAAATGGAAATAAGTATAGAAATGTTTAAAATAAATAATATGACTGCCTAGGTAATGAACAATAATCTCTCAGTACTATCTTAGGAGAGAGCCAATTTGGTTAAGGCACCAGGCTAGAAAACCAGGAGACTGAGTTACAGTCCTGCCTTAGGCACAAAGCTAGCTGGTGACTTTGGGCCAGTCACTTTCTCAGCCCTAGGAAGGAGGCAATGGTAACCCACTTCTGACAAGAAAACTGTAGGGACTAGTCCAGGCAGTTGCCAGAAGTCAAGACTAGCCCGAAGGCACCTCCCCCCTCCCAAAAAAAGCCACCTTATGAAAATAGCCTGACAGGAAGGGCCAGAACCACTAAAGAACAATGTCCTGAAAATGTAAACGTTCTATAAATTAGATATAACAACACACAGCCACGTTTTATAGACTCTTTGAGTCCAATAAATAATTGCCACATTCTTTTAAAAGAAAATGAAAGGAAATAATCTGCCTGAAAATTATTACTAGTTAATTAACGTTATAAGAGAAAGTGTTTTTTTACAGTTCCTTGTGAAATTGAAGC